TCCGAACAAAACCTGCAGAGGCCGTATTACTACTGCGCTCGACGATACCGATGTGCATGTAGTCAATGTTCACAACCATCAACCCAATGCAGAAATTGTCCCGGTTAGTTATTATTTATGTGAGTACTGATTTATAGCAAATATTTTCGTAAGTGATGGCTTGTTATTTTTTACTGTACTCTATATCTCGTATGCTAAATGTGGGTGAATTTCGAATTTGAAATGAATTTTAGAAACGACGAGTGCGCACAATGCTGCGAAAATTGGCTGAAAGAGGAGAGATTCCTCAGAGTGAGATATTAAAAAAAATTCAAGATATGGAAGTTGCCTTTGGTCGTAGCCGAGAACAGGAAATTACAAACGGATACGTTACTGAACGGCGGTATGGTACTATAATTTTGCCTTCTTTAATAAGCTTTAACTTTGGGATTCAGGAAGCTTTGATAGCATGTTGGAATCTTTTGCATTATTGTTCCTAGATTCTGTTTCTAGAAAAATTAAAGCAAAACTAATTTGGTTAGCATAGTTCTCGTAAGTCTAAAAATCCAACTCTTAAAGTTTTTGACTAAACTCGATATAAGTTATTCCTTCAAAGGTTTCGCATTTTATCAATTTCAGATATATTAGTCGTCACATGAAACATAATATGCATTTGGATAAGAGCTGCTCCCCAGTTCCAAAAGTCAGTTGAACTTTTTCATATTTCTTTAACTCATTTTCAGTTTTTAAGACTTTTGTTTTTCTTTTGGGATATAATACATCATCCATATTCCAGCAATGGAAAATCTAATTTAGATTAGATGTGTGCGTCGTCTTAGCTGATTTTCTTTTTTTCTGATTTGTCTAGGCATCAAGTTAGCTCCAGTGCGGGTGTTTATGACAATGTTTAATTACTTCATATCATTCTCATCTGTTTAAATCTTTTCAGAAATCTGGATATCACAATTATGAGTTGAAAACTAAGCAGAACAAACATGGTTCAACGATAAAAAACGGAGAAAATAATAAAGACGCAAAAAGCAAGGACGCGACGGTGCATGAGGCTAAAATTACTGCTCCTGTGAATGATAGTGTTCTCTTTCCTGACGATGATATGCTTTTAGATTTAGAGCACCAAAAGTGTTTAATAGAACTACTGAAGTCCGTGCAGTGCTCACATGATAATGGAACGAACTCAGTTGATACAGAAGATGAAGAAAACATGAATGGTACTACGACGTTGCAGAAGTCATCGTGCGTGTTGGGAAAGAGAAAGGACTCAACTGATTCTCAACAATTTCATCAGAACTCAATTTTAAGCGAATCTTCCGTGTTCAGCAATTACAACCCAGCTTTACGAGGCGAGTTAGCTTCTGAGATAGGAGCTGTTTTATGCAAAAGTTTGTGGCCAGCTAGTTTTACTCGTGTTGCTAAATTACAGTTTATGCGTGATGTGATAGATAAGATACTGAACTCTTAAAAGTCGTATAATACTAGTCTCCAAAAAAGTCTGTTATGCACATAACTTTTCACTTGACTAATTGATTATCACTGTTCACTAGCAATTATATTTAATAATATTTCCTAAAATTGTTTTGAGATAGTGAGATCGTGATTCGTATTGTTATTTATATTTTCATGGGATCCTTGATCTCCATTTTTTTCATTTTTAAACATTCATGATTGTTTCTGTTTTTATTGACCATGTGTGAATAAATTTTTGAGTTTATGTGGCTTATTTTTCGCCGAAATTTCGAAAAATTTGTTTTTTTGCATGTCATGACAAATGAACTGCAGTCAGAAATTATTAATTTTTACAGCTTTATTGCATATAAGAGCAAGCTATGAGGATTGCACTGTTAAAGTAAGTTGTCATTACTAGTGCTACTGTTATTGTCTTAAAACCAAGCTGAAGACTTTCGCATGTAGTTTGGTTTGTCGTAAAAGGTAATTAACTCATTACTATCAATTTCTGAAATGAAGAAAAAAGCTAAAATTAGAAATCGGATATCAAATAAACACAGAAAGTCAAGTTAGAGTGGGTAGTTGTAGCATCAAGGTTTAGCACAAAACTTCTGGGCAAATGTCAATATTTGAGAGGTTGATACTACTGGTATTGCATGCAGTCGGGATTCTTAGCAGTTACTGAGGTTGTTTTGGCAGAATTTACACCCGTTAAAAATTGATTAATAATATGTTCGCAATGGAAAGCGTTTTTTGAATTGCTATAACAATTGAGTGCAGTAAGTATCACTGCAGAAAAATATTGAATCTGGAAGCATTTTATACGAGATAAAAAAGGATTCTGCGAAAAAAATTCAAGACAAATCCATGAAGTATCTTATAAATGCTTTGAAGGTACTCTAACAATTAACTGTACTGACATTTTCTAATTAAGCAAATTATCGAGAATCTTTGAATTATCGTTTTATAAATGAAAAGAATGAAAAATTTGTAGTATTCTAAAGTTGAAAAGACCACTTCATGCTTTTTTAAAAGTATAATTTATTCTATTGGTTTGGAGGTATTGCGGATTATGATTAGAATTCATTTAATTTTGTGATAACTACAAAAGTTGTCTGTAAGCATAGCAGCTCACATTGTTTTTACTAACTTGACAGAATAATTCAGTGTTAGTTACAAAAGAAAAATCACTTTTAGAACAAATCACATCAAACCGACCACCAAATTGAGCTTC